CATTCAACTTAAACAGGCTTCCACCATCTCTCTTCTTCAGGGACTTCTGTTATCCAGGTGACAGCCACAGATGCTGATGACCCAACCTATGGGAACAGTGCCCGGGTGGTGTACAGCATCCTCCAGGGCCAGCCATATTTTTCTGTGGACTCCAAAACAGGTATGTGATGTTCACAGTCAGGTCAGAGCTGTTTGTTTCATTCTCTAATAATCTGTAACTACTATTTATGACAGACCTAACTCTCCTTTTTAAGAACTCTTCAGGGAGTGTACTAACTAGAGAAGATTGTTCTAAACTTTGGGATTAAGAGAACAAACCAGCACTGCCCTGTGGGTAAGAGCAGCATGATGCATAGACAGTGTACAGGGTCTGACTGGAGACGCCAAAAGAACTGCCTTCACAAAAGTACCTCCTCACTAGCCTTCAAAAAATTCTATGGTTGTATTTATTCCCAGGGAGAAAAGTCTTTTGCAATTCCAAGATCTAAGAGGATTGGCATTTAACCTGGGCTTAGTATAGAACTAGAATCACTGATTTTGAAACTAGAAAGAGCCTTAGAGGAATCATCCAGTCCATCGCCATTCACTTAACAGATAAGGAAATTGGGAACTGAGACCTAACAAAGTGCTTCTGGTTGTAGGTAAGTCCTCTGACGTGTGTTCAGACGTGCTTAGCACTGAACCACCCTGTACTGAGCAGAGAGGAAGGCCAGAATGAATGGACACTGGGACAGACAGGTTTCGATGAGAGAAGAGAGCACAGAGCATGGGATGTGGCCCCAGAAAAGGAGGTGCTAAGTGGGATGTTCTCACAGGGAGGACAGCTTAGAGTTGGGTGGGTAAGGAACAATGTGCTAGGAAAGGACAAATCAACAGACAAGCAACACACCAATTTGGTTTTGGGGGTTTTGTCTTGTTTGGTCTTGTTTTCAGTTTTACCTGAGAGCTTTGACTACAGAATTTCTGTTTTATCTATGAAGGACTCCCTTTAATACTTCTGACTTGGGGAGAGCAATTATATCATTATCTTGTACTTGTGCCAGAATTTCTCCCCTTTAAAACGCTTTCATAAATATTACCACATGTGAGCCTCCCAATAATCTTGTGAACTCGTGCGATATATGGAAGTGTTGTCATCCACATTTTACATAAATTGAGGACCTAAGAGTAATTAACAAAAAACTTGAGTAAAGAAACTTACAAACACAGAGGTAAAGTCAATGATGAACACTCAAAGTCACTACTTTATATGAAGTAGAAAAAAACACATTTCTATTAGCAACCTGATATAATTTTTTTCAGAAGTCCTCAGGGAAACCAGGCATTCAGAAAATTGTATCATAAAAGTAGGAAGTGAGGGCGTATAAATTAGTAGGAGGCAAGAAAAAAGATTGCAGTTAGGGACTTCCATAAAACAGTAACTTTAACAATTCTACAAACAGAGGGAGGGAAAGTGAGGGGGTGCCCACAGGGAGGAAAAATATAGACAGGAAGAGGGTAGTGTGTCCTTTACATCCTAAGAGGAACCCTACATTATTTTGACAGCTCCCACAGGGCATCTATAGTGTTAAGGTCAAAAATACATGAAAAGATAGTTATTGCCATGCCCATAGGGTATTTAAAAAAAGAAAATGCTGCATATTTCACTTTAGAATGTTGTTACTATAACACAAAATATACCTTACAGGACTAAAATGGAGACAGGTTTGTGGTCCCAATTCCTCCCCTTGGCATACAAAAAGTCTATTTAGCCAAGGGTCATGTTATAAACTTGCAATAAACAAGCCTTTAATCTTTGCCTAGAGAGTACAGAAGTCAACTTTTCTAAGCGGAAAGGTTAAAAGGGAAATAAAACAGTGGCGCACATCTTTGGCAGGATCAAAACAACACATTTCACAGGATTTTGATTTAGACCCTTCTTCTTAAATGAAACCATATCATCACACTGAAACGCTGCTACCTAACTGTCTGGGGAAGTTCATCTCGTGGGTGTGTTAAAAATAAACAACTCACAGAGCTTCTTTCACGTCTTAGCTCGTGGAATGCGGTGAAGCACAGAGGTAAGCAGAACCTAATAAAACAGAATGGACACATAACAAAAGGAAAATCAAATCAGAATTCCAACGCTGCTTACAGGTACCAGGGAGGCAGGAGAAGGCAGACTAGGAGTGAGTTGCCTAAAGAAGAGCCATTCCCACTGCAAGGGCTCCAAGGGCTGAAGAAAGAAAGAGCTGAAGGAGAGTAATCTCACATCACAGATTTGCAGACTTATGAGGCTTTGTTTTCTGGCCCCAAAGCCCCAGTTTTCTTCGGTGAGACAGAGCAGCCTGAAATCGCCTCGGACTGCCATTCCCTCGTCTGTCCGAGAACCACTGCTGCCACCTCCTGTTCCTGCTCAGGAATGCTGCCGGAGGAAATCGGCCCACTAGGCTCTCTTCCTGCTGAAATAGCATTTATTCACCCTTTATTTAAGCACAGCACTTTCTAGAAACTGGTATTCTGACCTCAAATTTAATAAAACAGGTGACTTGCATCTCACATCAAGGCATTAACAGGGCACCAGGGAAAAGTTTACAACCCAGACTTAAAAACTGGACTTGTGGTTTTGTTTTTAAAAACAAAGTCATTTGTATCCTGCAGGTGTAATTAGGACAGCACTCATGAATATGGACCGAGAAGCCAAAGAATACTATGAAGTGATTATCCAAGCCAAGGACATGGGAGGGCAGCTTGGAGGATTAGCTGGGACCACAACGGTCAACATCACGCTCTCGGATGTCAATGATAACCCGCCCCGCTTTCCCCAGAGTGAGTACCTAAGCAGTGAGAGTACAGACCTCAGGCCAGAGGGACGCACCTGTGACAGAGGTGAACGACAAAGGCCAGTCTGAGTTCCTCTTTGAGTTCAACTATGCATGGATTCCTTCCCAACATTTATCATGCAATTCTCACATAACCATTTCCCTTGTAGGCCCCAACTCCCCATAGCACTCCACCAGTGTTTCTCACTTTTTTCACTATCACCTCCCTATGGAGCCTTTTTAGACCTTTTTTTCTTGATTGTCATGCCCTACTCTGCCACCTCATAAAATTAAATATTAAGGAATAAGGTTTTGTTGGCTAGGGGTGAAATTTAGAGAGCCAGAAATCACTGTAACGTCTAAGATTTTTTTTCATCTCTTTCCTAACATGAATCCTTTTTGCCCCCAAGGATGCAATACTGCCCTTGTTGAGAATGCATGGGGAGAAACTAAGCCAAAACTACAGGTGGACACAGTGACCCAACTGACCACCTTAACCAATCAATTCACAAGCAGGTACCGAGTGCCTGCTTTGCAAGGGCCCTGGGCATGAGGGGCACAAGATGCTTGAAACCCAGTCCCTCCCTCTGTGAAGCTTAAAATCCAAATGGGGAGAACATACTTGATACTCATCAAAAGTTGACCAAGAAGCAGTATTTGTGTGCCACTTGATTAGTGCAGAGTGAAGCCTTCACAATAAACTAAGATGAATGAAGGCTTCATAAAAGAATGAGGGTTCAACAGGGGATTGAAGAATAAAAAGGATTCAAATAGGAAGAAAGAAAACATTTCAGAAAGAGGAAGCCATTCATTCATTCAAAAAATACTTGTTTCAGGCAACATTCTAGGCATGGAATATAAAGACCTAGAAATAAAGTTGCAAATGTAATTTTGTCTTCAAAGATCCCTAAAATGGAGACCTGCTCTTTAGTGTTTCAGATGCATTATATTTCTAATGGAAGTCACTGCAAAGTTTTTGAGTAAGTGAGAGACATACAGGAAGGCTAATTTGATAACCATGTACAGAACTGGTTGGCAGGGGTGGAAACTAGAAGCAGGAGAGTCCATCAGGAGGCATTTAGAGTGGTCCAGATTTGAACTGATAAGGATGTAAGGAAATGGCAGAAGGAGTGGAGTTGGCCAATTAACAAAAGAGAGATTTCAGCCTCTTGATTTCTTGGCTAAAGGAACCAAAGCAGAGGGTGGAGTCAAAGATGACAATGATGTTTTAAGTCTGGGTAACAGGGAGAAGAATTGTACTACTGAGAGAAACAGAGGATGCATAATGGAACTAGTGGCAGGGAAGGAAGATGACAAATTCAGGTTTGAAAATAAAGTGACAGCGGGACAATCAGATTGAATGTCCTTAAGGAAGGGAGAATATACAACTATGACTGTGGAATAGAGCCCAGGAATGGAGATGTGAATTTGAGAAGCAGATGCCTAAAAGAGAGCAGCTGGAGAAGTGACAGCAGCAGACACAGTTCCAAGTGAGACTTAACCAGGGGAATCAGGTTCAACAAAACAACTAAACTAAAAACAGAGCCAAACTAGATCATCAGCTGAACAGATACATTTTGCATCAGCCAGATCATGTAAACCGTTTATTTTATCCATGTAAGTACAGGAAGAGAATTCAAATATTTTCATCCAACTGGTATACACAAAGTCCTCATGAAATTTCATGAAACTACAAGACAGGATAATAGATAAGCACTTCACAAGTGGCACAAATGAGTAGGTTACTAAGTTGATTGGGTCATTGTTACGGAGCAGTAATGTGTCATGGAACAGTTTATGACATGCCATGTGGATTGGTGTCTTAATTGCTTTGCTGACCCTGTGACTTCTATCTTTATTATTTCATGAATGGCTCACATGGCGCACACTGTAGACCACAGACTCTTGAACAGGCTTAAACTATCCTACTTCGCTTTTGTAATTTGACACTAGACAGTATCTCTGATAAAGGTAAAAAGGGAAGAAGAATGAAGTTATTACATAGCTCCTAAGTATGTAGATATGGATGTAACTGCAGGAAAGCTGTATCTCCCCACACATGGTAGCTTCACAGTAGCATAACACAATACAATGATAACTGGGATTTTAGATCTACCTTACAAGCCAACATCTTAACCCCATTCTAAAGCACACATTTTGAGTTGTCATCTTTTTTTTTTTTTTTGAAATAATGGAGAATCTAGAATAAACTGGAAGCATGGATATGCTGCACGGGAAACAAAATGGAAATGTATAAAAGTCATCTCTGTGTCTCCAAGCATTCTTCACACATTATCCCTGTTTCCTTTAAAAGTCATTATTTTTGGACTTTCAAATTTTTTTATCTCACCATTAAATGTTTCCTTTTCTATTTGCTAAAACTAAGTTTAAATGATCTCATTATTCCATAACGAACCTTGCATGAACTCTTCTGTATTATTAATCTGATTCTTCATTGTAGAAATCTCACTTTGCATCTTTTTCGCAAGTGCTATCGTACGTGATTATCAGATGCTGACAAAATGACACACCTACTATCTTATATTGAACAAGCTCAGTCACCTTTAAGTGAACCAAATATAATGGAATATCAAGACCTCAGGCTAATATATGTAGAAAGTGTAGGTATATGTCTGTTTAAACACATAGGCTTCCTGGAGAAAATTATAAGCAAATACATGTTTGCTCTTCCCAAACATGTTCTGTAATAGTAAAGTCTAATCCATCAACGATTTTGGAAGTAAAAAGATCATGGAATCCAAATGCCTGCCTATTTAGTGCAAGCTAACAATTTCCTGCTTATACTAGCAAAAAACAGTCATCGTTTCTTCTCCCATGCAAGGGAGGGTGCTGCGAGCCGCCTGGGTGCTGTCAGCCTCCCCTAATCTTTGTGAAACTCGAGCCTTCACATCCCAAGCTTCCCAGGTCCACATCCCCACAACTTGCAATACATATCAGAATAAGAGAGACCATGTACATACAGAAAAATTGTGTGATTTTATTATTTAGTCATTCACATTATGATTGACAAAATAATGAAAAATGGCAAACAGTTTAGTCCCAGAGAAGGTAAATTAATGAAAACACAACTCCATGGGGATGAAAATGAACTGAATTAGTGAATTCAGGATATCAAATTGAAAAGGAGAACATTACTGGCTTTGAGCTTCTTACTTTTGTGAGAGATCTGAGTGTATTCTATTCTGAAAAAAGAGAAGAACAAAAAGCATCAGGGGTCTGTCCATAAAGAAGCTGCCAGTAGGTAGTCCCAGGTGCAAGGACGCATTGATGGATAACACATGAAGCTGGTGGAGCTCACTCTCCATGGCTGGTCCTCCTTTGTAGATATCACTGGTTAACCATTAAATCTGGGCTGGTGGTTGTAGACAGGGGCACTGAGCACACTGGCCAGCGCACGAAGGAAAACGTGGGCATTTGAAACGTGAAAAGAATAAATACATACTTTGGGACCACAATGTTTTTTCTATCTTTCTCAGAAGATATTAATTTTTGGAGAAATAGTTCATTAGGAAGGACTGTAAGACTGGAAAGCAAGGTACTTCCTACCACTCTGAAGGTAGATTCACTGAGATGAGAAATATTTGGGATTTTATCCTGTCCCATTCCTAGGATCATGATCAGGGTATTCTGGCTCCTCTTTACTGAACAGCCAGTACAAGCTATGACCCAATAATGTTTGCTCAGCTTCTCTGGATCTCAGTTTTGCATCTGTAAAACTTAAGTTTTAATTTTTGGACCAAGAAAAAGATGTTTTGCACGGTATGGCGGATATGATGTGACACTGAGGAGGCGTTTTTTTCGTAATGACAGATTACCAAAACTGCATGTTCTGACTCTTCTTCACAGAACATTATCAGATGAGTGTGTTGGAATCAGCTCCAGTTAGCTCTACTGTGGGGAGAGTGTTTGCCAAGGACTTGGATGAAGGAATCAATGCGGAGATGAAGTACACCATTGTGGATGGAGATGGAGCAGATGCCTTCGACATCAACACAGATCCCAATTTCCAAGTTGGCATCATAACTGTGAAGAAGGTAATCCACCTCCTTTCCCCAAATCACTTCAATGGAGGCTTGAATGTGTATGTGATATTAGTAAGGGCTGTTACAGTACTGATATGTAGTGCTTCAAATTCTCTGATAAACCCTCTTTCCTATTATTAAGAAAAAAATTCTTCCTCCTTTTACTTACAAGTAAACACTGGCTGTGTCATCATTGTACAGAAAGGATACGAAGTCGTGATAAAAATATATAAAAATGCCACTTCTCCTAGCTCACTAATCAACCACTTCAAAACAAAACCTGTTGTAGCTTAATTCCCTAAAGATGTTAATGACTTAACCAGTATTTGCACTTGTATAACCTCATTTTTACTATAGTATACCACAAAGCAAGCTATACTATTATTATTAATCAATAAATAACATACAGGGATTTTAATTGCTACTTAAAGACCCATAGATATTAATTAGGCTTGGAAAGCTTTATCAAACATAGCTGCCGAGTGATGTTATCACTTGAAACTCCTTCATTTCATAATACATTAACAAATTTTCTAAATGTAAGCAATGGATTCTGTGGCATAAAGCACATACGGGCATACTGAGCTGAAAGATAAAACCTGAAAAAACTGAAGTTTTAACATCCTAATAAACACATCTGAGAAAACACATTAATTCAAAAATTCGTTGATTTAATCATCCTTCTCCTCTATTTTAAATGAGTTTTAAAGCCCAAGATATCTTGAATTATTTATTCAACAAATACTTGTTGAGTGTCTATGTGTCAGGTACTGTGCTAGGCATTTAACGTAGAGACTAAATAAAACCACCAAAAACCTCTGCCCTCTCGAAGTTTACATTCTAGTGAGGGGAAGAAGACAATCAAAATAGCAAGTAAGTCAATAAAGTAGTATATCAGAAGGTATTAAGTGCTCTGGAGGAGGGAATGTAAAGTGAGATCAGAAGAGCCAACTTTTGTGACTTCAAATTTAATTGGGTGGTTGGGATTGGCCTCACAGAGAAGTGACATTTATGCAAAGACTTCTCATGGGCAGAGTCACAGCACAGAACTGGGCAGGTTGACAATGTGCAACCCTGGGAGGTGTCCTGTAAGTGACTTTCAGTGAGAATTGTAAATGGCAACTGTGCAGATGAGGAAATGGACATGGAGATATTGAGAAAAGTGTTCCAGGAAAAGGAACAGCCAGTACAAAGGCCATGAAGTGGGATGCTGCCTAGTTTGTTTCAAGAACAGGAAGGGGGTTTGTAAGGCTCGAGGGGAAGACTAGTAGGAGATGAAATCAGAAAAACAGCAAGGGGGCCAGACTGTGTAGAACCTTGTAGGCACATATAAGGACTTTGGGTTTTAATCTGAGTAAAGTGGAGAACTGGAGGATTTTAACAGATGTGTGACATCACTGGACTTTCATTACAAAATAATTACTCTGTAAGCTGTGTTGAGAAAAGACCATAAGAGGGCAAGGATGGCAACAGGGACACTAGCTGAAAGGTTATTGCAATAATCCAGGTAAGAGATGATGGTAGCTTAGTCTAGGGTATTAAGGTGGTGAGAACTGGTCAGATTGGAATATATTTTGAAAGTAGAATCAACACGATTTCCTAACAGACTGGATGAGGGTATGAAGAAAAAGAGGAGTCATCTGAGCAACAAAAATAGAGCTGCCATTAACTGAGATGGGGAAATAACTGGGGTTCAGTTTCGGCACATTACGATTGCAACATCTATTAGACACCCAAGTGGAGATGTGTAGTAGCTGTTGACTATAAGAGTGTGGAATCTGGAGAAGAGTTCTCGGCTGGAACGATAAATATGAGAGTCATAAATGGTACTTAAAGCAAATAAAAAAGAATGCTTTTCTAAGGGACTGAGCACAGATGCAGAAGAGGACAGTAAGATGAGTCCTGTCACCCCAAAGTGATGAGGTCAGGGAGAGCAAGGAGACTGATGAGAGCCCAGGGAAGCAGGAGGAAAATCAGGAGAGTGTGCTGTCCTGAAGATATGAAGAAACTGCTTCCAAGAGAAGGGAATGACTGCCTGTGACAAATATTGCTTAAGTTTATATAAGAACACTGAAAATTCATCACAGGTTTAGAAATATGGAGGTCACTGATGACCTTGACAAAAGCAACGAAGTCATAACTTAGAATGTGGCACAGTTAATGTGTTTAATAACAACTTTATTCTGTGTTGTTCCATACAGTAGAATTAACACTGTCTTAGAAGGGAAGAGTTCACGTTTGTCCCATATTTACTTAAGGTACAAATACAGCAAAAGAGCTGATATAGCCAGCATTCCTCCAATGAGAAATCTTTATAACCAGCATACAATGACCTCAATATAGTGCAAAATGTTGAGATTAACTTTGGAATCATCATATAAATCTGAATATAAATTAAATATTGCAGTTTCTTATTTATTTGCATTCTTTGAGAATTAATATTGCATGCTAGAATTATAAAAGGTGACAAGAAATAATAATACCAATTTGGTATATGACATAAGATTAAGAACATTCCCCTATTATGTGGCATGCCTCAAGTGAAAAATTAATAATACACTGCTTACCATGATTGGTAACTACAAACAAGGTAAAAGCTCAAAGTTTTGGATAATTATTATCTCTTTAATGCAAAAAGTATCTTTAAAAAAACAAAGCAATCAGAAAAAGAACTTTTGAGTGTCTTGATACATTTAAGATTTTACTTTATATCTTAATATATAAGATAATTCTAAATACTGACACAATAATATTAATTTATATTAAATTATTAGATTATATTTTAGACCTTATTGCAAGCCATTGATTTTAAAAATATGAACTATTACAATTTTGTATATGATGAGATCAGTTCAGGGTGGTAGAGCAATAGACTGTATCTGAAAGAAACCTCAAAATGTCATTTCTCCAGCTTCCTTACCTGGAGAGCAGATTAAACCTCGTAAGACAGAACACTGTCTTTCACTGTCATTGCTAAAACTATATCCATGTTTAATCAAAACATACATCAATTTTACCAAGGTCATTTGTATTTCTCTTATGAACTTATGAGGTGCCAGAAAATTGAACTAAGGAAGAGGTCAGTAAGTTCAGTAGATGGACAAGTCAAATATAATAAATACTTTAGAGGCTATTGAGCACTCGATCTATGTTTGGAACAACATTCACTCAGTTGCTTGATCCACACCCATCTTCCTACTTTGTCGTTAATAATATCATGTAAAATTGAAACAAAAGTTCTGCTTTTGATTTATTTCCCTAAGGCCTATTATTTGTCTAAAAAGCACATACTTTTTCAAAAAGAGAAATTAAGTTGAATTGATAGAACTGGGTCTTCATAAAACCACACTGATTACTACCCAGTACCTTGTGTCTTTTTGGCTTTTAAGTAATCAATCAATTGATTTTCAGTCTTTTAATTAAAATGCTTGAAAGATAACTTGAAATATCTAATTTTCAGAATGTTCTTTATTCTATGTGAGCATGATCTTGTCTTCAGCATGTCTTCCATCTTTCAGAACACAATAAACAATCGTTTTGAGTCCACTCTCCTCTTAGGCAAGCCACAAAGCACAAAACTTCTGTATTTCATCAAACCTAAGGTGCCATGAATTGTAAATCTTACCACTGTTTTATATACCACTTAAAAAAAACTCTTGCCAACTTCAATGATATAATGCTTTCTCATTCCTTACTTTGTAGTAAGAGCTTTTGCAGACACAGACATATTTGCTTCACTGATATCAGATTTACTCCCTGCTGTTGTTTCCATGCCATTTTGCCTACACAACAACTTTTGTTTCAATGTTGAATCATAATGCAATCTTTCTGAAGACATTTTAGAAGGCAGTAACGTTCAACACATGTATTACCAACAGTGTGCAGAACTCAACTTAAGTACAACATGAAGGACTTTGACCAGGGTTGGCTAGCACCAACAGTGACAAGCACATCCTACCTCCTGCTGGCCTACAGCAATTGAAGAGATATCCCTATTTCCAAAACGTCAAAAGATGAAAAGATGTATACCTCTGCATATACTGAACCACTGAAATATGGTAACATAAAATCTGTGTATATCATCACTCACTCAACTAGTACACGGTAATTCTCACATTAAAAAACCTTTGCACTGTTCAACGTAACATTTTATTGCTGCCTTTTGGGTTCTGGGCCCTTGCTAGGCACTGGGGAATAAAATTCTAAGTCATAGTCTTTGCCCTTTAGTATTGTGAAAGCGACCAACACAGAAAGAAATATTTATAATACAAAATAAGAAGAGCCACAATGGAAGTAAAACAAAGTACGATGGGAAAAGAAGGTGGGAACAATTAATTCTGCTGAGGAAAGCTGCATTACTATTTTTTGCCACACTTTTCATTACTCAATTTTCAAGGATATAATGAGTTTTCATTTTTGTGTGCTCCAATTCTAGGAAACTTCTTGAATTTGGAACTTGAGTTCTGAGACATTACTATGCTTTGATTTACTATTATAAATATGGAAACTCACTGATGCTAAGGAAAAACAGGTAGAAAATTTTTTCAAGAGAGAAAAGTCAAACTCATATATCAATTGTAGTCAATTTAAAGCTTAGGATATTTAAGGCAATGTTTTCTTAAAATTTTAAATAATAAAATTATTTAACTGAGAGAATAATCTTAATATAAAAATCAATAACTAACTTATTTTAAAAGAAATTTTAACAATAATTAAAAAGTCTACTCTTTCAGCAGTTAGAAACATTGGATATCTGCATGCACACACACACAAAAAGGAACCTTGATTCATACCTCACAAAAATTAACTCAAATTAGATCATTTACCTAAATGTGAAAAACTAAAACTATAAAATTTCTAGAAGAAAACATGGGAGAAAAATCTTTGTGACCCTGATCAGGTGAAAATTTCTTAGATACAACACCAAAATCCCAAACCACAAAATAAAAAGTGATACATCAGATTTATCAAAGTTAAGAGTTCTTTCTCTTCACTGTTAAAAGAATGAAAAAACAAATCACAGATTGGGAGAAAAGATTTGCAAATAACCTGTCTGATAAAGGACTTGAATATAAAATATATAAAGAACTCTTCAAGAAAACATAAAGAAGATCAACATCAGTAGGCATTACGGAAATGCAAATCAAAACCATGATAAGATAGCATTTCACACCCAACAGGATGTGGAGCAACCAAAACTCACACGTTCCTGGTGTTTCTACAGTGGCTGCACCAATTCACATTTCCAACAGTGTAGGAGGGAGTTAGGAGTTCCCAGTGCAGGAGTTTCCTTTTCTCTACACCCTCTCCAGCATTTATTATTTCTAGACTTGTTTTTTTAGGGCACCTAAGTTTAATTGCTTTTAATTATATTTTTAGACCTTTTGATGATAGTCATTCTGACCAGTGTGAAGTGGTACCTCACTACAGTTTTGATTGGTATTTCCCTAAGAAGTAGCAATGTTGAGCATCTTTCATGTGCCTGCTGGCCATCTGGATGCCTTCTTTGGAGAAATGTCTACTTAGGTCTTTGGCCCATTTCTGATTAAGTTGTTTGTTTTTTGTTATTAATCTGTATGAGCTGTTTGTATATTTTGGAAACTAAGCCCTTGTAGATCACACCATTTGCAAATATCTTCTCCCAGTCCCTAGGTTATTTTTGTTTTGTTTATGGTTTCCATTCTGTGTGACTTTTTTTTTTATTATTGATGATATTTTGAGGTAAGTGTTGCTTAAAACTTTTATACATTTTTGTCAGTTTAAAAAAATGGATTATTTTTAAGAAACAGCATTCAAGTACACTTCCTGCCCTGAAGTGCTGTATTTATTTTGACATAAAACATTCTGAAGGTAAGAAGAGATCTAAAAAAGGAACTATCAAAAAAGTTACATTTTATGACATGGGATTTTATTAGACAAAGTTAAATTTATGTGGATGAGCCCTGAACGAGGTATTTAAAAACCTAGAGCAGCATTTCTACTCTGACACAGCGTAACCACGTCAGCTTAGTCTAGTCTTCCACCCTCTTGGTCTCAGTGTCTTTAACTGTGAAATGAGGCATTGGATTAGGTTTTTAAATATATTCATTGACAAATATACCAATGTATATATTTAAAAGAGATTGTCTCTGACAAACTAAATACATAAATACTGACCTGACTCAATGCCCTGAGAATCTCTGTGAGGTGCTTATTGATAGCTTCTTGGGGGAAAAATATCAGTATTTTTTTTTGTATTGTACTCAGTTATTTTTAAAGATGAAAACAGAAAAGCCTCGGCCTCAGTTGTATGGATATTCTGAAACAGAACTCAAACTCTCTCTTAATTATCATGGCATTTTTTCAAATGAACAAACATTTTTAAGATAAGGTGGCCACGCCAATTAAAGAGTAGACAAGTTAAAGTCAGCCTTGCCCAGGGTACAGTGGCTTTCTTACTCAGCAAACTGGCTTCCTTCACTATCTCTGAAGCATCTAGCATCCTCCTTATCTTCGTCACCCAAGTTGTTGGAACTGACATTAAGACCAAGAACGATGGAACAAAAGAAAAATTCCCCTTATTTTTCCTCTTGCCCCTTTTGCATAATTTTAACGCATCTGGGAATCTATCCATCAGCCATCAGTATTGACCATTCTTCAAAATTCTGACATATATGCTCCTAGCTAATCAATTTTCCTGTCATTACTTTTCAGCCTCTGAGTTTTGAAAGCAAGAAAAGCTACACCTTAAAAGTGGAGGGAGCCAATCCTCACCTAGAAATGCGTTTTCTGAACCTAGGCCCGTTTCAGGACACAACCACAGTGCACATCAGTGTGGAAGACGTGGATGAGCCCCCTGTGTTTGAACCTGGCTTTTATTTTGTGGAGGTACCTGAAGATGTGGCGATTGGAACAACCATACAGATCATTTCTGCCAAGGACCCAGATGTGACCAACAACTCAATCAGGTTTTCCCACACATTCCACCTTTTCCTTATGTCCTAGAATCTTCCCTTCCCTTGAATCTAGTTTTCTAGTACTTTTTCTCTCTGGTTCTTCCATCTCTGAAGATTCTTCTATTTCTTTAAATTCTTTCTGCTTAAATGATACAGCCTTTTCATGTTATTTAGAAGTATAATTATGTCTACAATTCCCAGTCAACTGGTTCAGCAATACATATACCCCTTAGTTCTCAATTGTGGCCTTACTGACATTTGAGGGTGGATAATTCTTTTCTGTGGGGCTGTCCTGTGCATTGGACGATATTTAGCAGCACCTCTGGCCTCTCCCCACTTAATGCTGGTAGCACCCCCTAAGTTGTAACAACATAAAACATCCCCAGATATTACCAAATACACAGACACATAGATGCCAAAACATTAAAAATTGTTGAATCGTAGTGGTAAATATAAAGGTTATCACTGCACATTCTTTTCATTTTTAAGAGCATTTGGCTTTTTACTTTTAAACAATGGAAAAAGAAACATATAAAACATATACAAACACATTATTTCTGTACAGACATAGAAACCACTACTGTTGTCAACAGTTTTGATCCCATACAGATTGGCTTTCTATTGCAAAGTGTGTTTTAAACTTAAAAATTCTAGGCTAGATGCTTCCCCCTCAAGAAGGGGGCGGACAGCTGCTCTTATAACCATAGCCATTTCCCACTGACTCTGGAACCAAAGCGCAAACAGCTGGTGGACAGGTTGACACCTCAGCCTTCCAGAGCAACTGCCAAGCCTCTGAAGCTTGACACAAAAGATCAGGATTCCAAGCCTGTTTGAAGCCATCTGTCGCATTAATTGTTGAAAGCCACACAAATGGATGTGGGGCTAAGTGCAGATAGCACATTTAAAACACACCCTGACTTATCAAAGGCCTTTTCTGTCAGCTGGCTACTTCCCTCACCTGGTGCTATTTTGTATTTAATTAAAATGTGCTTTTGCAGTTTAATAAAGACGATTCTCTCCTGAGATTATGCTGGGGGAGATCTGCTTCCTCTAACCAATTAGCAAACATTTTACATTTTTAGACATTAAAATGGCTTAAATTATTTTGTCTGAATTCTAATGTTCATTCTTTAGAAGGCAACTAATCTTTATGAGTTATACCAACTTTACAGAAGTGATGTTTGAACCTTAAGCTTTTTAAATGTATAACAGGATGGGAAGAAGTTAGTGAAACCGTGTTATCCTCAAAACAACCACAACATAAATGAATCCAATTCTAGGTTTCTATTTTCAGGAACCAAGAAAATATACACATACACACACACACACACACACACACACACACACACGGTCTTCTGATTAATCTAGTCATATCAGAGACAATACTGTGGGGAAAACTTCAGAGAATAAAACTTTATGGAGGTAAAATGTTTGAAATAAAAATAGCACAGCTTGAAAAAAATCAGATCCCATTTCTAAAAGGGTCAATCAAATGTCCAGTGGATACTTCCACCTCATCTTTCCAGATTCTAACTCTGGACTCCTACAAGATAAGCACTGAAAATATGGTTTCGTCAGGAGTCACACTACTAAGAAGCAAAAGAGACAGAAGGCAGTCAGGAAATTCACACACACACAAACACACACACAAACCTCTACCTAGAGCGGCTGTGCGTTATTCAGGACTAAAGTCATTATCTCAACATATAACTAGAAAGGAAAGAGAAACATCAGCAGGCCTAGATCCACGGCTGGCATGGAGCAAAATGAGGCACACAAAAATGAGGGCATCCTGTCTGGCTAACAGGAAATGTTGCTTCAGATGATGAGCCATGGAAAACCACCAGTTGGCCGGCGTGGCAGGCAGTTAGCATCAGGGAGGTCCATCAGGAGTGCGTGTCAAGTCCAACAGATCCTGTCAGGAGGAAGCCAAGAGTGAACAGGCGGGAGAGACACAACAGGGTCCCCTGGGCTTATTCGAGGACGGGACTATCGTTCTTGAGAGAAAAACTGGCAAGGATAAGGCCACAGGCCTGGAGGTAACAAGACAGCACTCAGGCACAGGGTAAAGCAGACTCCACTCCTCAGAACACGAGGCAATTCTTCCTCTGCACTTCGGCTGCAAAGGAACAGAATTCATACTGCTAGATAAGGAGTCTCTGGCTCTTTGTACTGTCCCACAGGAATAACGAACGGTCCCTGAACCCAAGTAGAACATCGGGGGTCCTGGATTCTCAAAGGAAAGAGCACCTAAAAGTCAAGTCTCTGGCTATCAACTAACAAACCCATTTGGGAATTACTTTCCTACGTTATCATTTCCCGGATTGCTCATGTTATCCTTATTTTTCCTATGAAAGTTATTTTCTTTTAGAATAATTTGCATGTGTTATATGCCACTTAGCTATCTAATTTATCTTCTGCATTTTTATTACAAATAAATGAGGTTCATAATCCTAAAAAAAAAAAAAGACGTATTAAATCACCCAAAAATCAGCATATCACCTGAAGTTAAAATGCTGTGGATAAAAGGTCATTTACCTTTTTAAAAAGATTATCAGGACTTTTATAATCTCACACCTAGAAAGTTTACGGTGTGTTCAGGTCATCATTTACTAGCAAAGCTGAAAACTAGGTCTCCAGATTTAGTTACATATACACGAAAAAACAATGTTTGGATCTCCTAAGTTCTTACTAAGTGCTCAAGGAATTTTCAGCAAGTAAGAAATTGAACTATTTGGCAAGTGAAACAGGATTCCACTGGTATGGAAACAGCCTGCCCTCCTGTGCCTTCCTAGAGTGTGTGTGTGGATTCAGGGAGCCTGTCCATGATTCTGTACTTTCAAAACACCCCTAAATTCAGAGATTGTCCTCAGCCAAGTCAGAAAGCGGGCAGCTCAAGGAGCACCAGCTACCACTCACCGAAGGCAGCTTTGTAAGTGCGTGTTGGCCCTACTCTGCCCACAGCAGGTGAGAATGTTACGGTTAGAGAAAGGAAAACCACCTCCACAGTTCACTAGTGTGTCCCAATTTCCTCATTTTCCATCTGCATCTACACCTTTAAATTTGTTCTCCTGCCTCCTGAAAATTGGCCCCATGTTCCATTCAAGAGTAATGAATGCTATTACTGCCTCAGTTCAGGCCCCGCCTGGGAAGCCTGGGAAAACGGAAAGGGATTCCACTTGATGAGGGAGGCAGGCTCGCAGCGCTTCCTCCCAGTGTGTCACCAGGCAGTCCTGTCATGGGTTCTGTCAGTTAGTTATTTCCATCACTCCGTCTCCCATACCATCTGTGACATTTGCTGTGGCACTGCAGGCTTGAATGCAGAAAGCCGCTTCATCATAGCTGTCTCTCCCCTCGGCATTATGCCTACAGCTTGGAGAGCTGCCCTCGGGGTTATGGCTCTGTGGGCTGAATGGCTGGCTTTTCTCAGTGTTTGGGGAGCTGAAGGAAAAGACTGTCATGAGCCAACCGGTATTTTTTTTTCTAAGATAAATTCAACTCTTAAAATAGCTGGTAAACTTTAAAACTAAATCACTAATGACACCTAGTAAAAAGAAAATCTCGTTAATTTTAAATGAGTTTTGTAGGCATGTGTTTATTCTTTATTAAATACTCAACTGCTTGCTATCATGACATAATCTATCTTCAAAAAGAGATAAGGTTTTGTTTCCTTAAGCAACCTCACACATTCCACATGCCTACATTTGATTCCCAGCCGTGCAACCTTGACGAGTGACTTAACCTTTCCACGCTTCAGTTTTCTCGCTTGTAAAATGGGGGTGATAACAGTACATACCTCACAGGGTTACTGTGAGGATTAAATGAACCAACATGTGTAAGATGTTTGGAGCAGTGCCTGGCTACAATAAGTGTCCGCTAAATAGGGTCAGAAGCAGAGAGGCATTACTTTACTTCTTTAAATTTCCCAACCCTTGGAGAGTTATAACTGAAATGATTCCAACTTCTCTAGCCTTTAGTGGTCACTTTCCTCTTTAATTCCTAATTCTCTCAACAGTCATCCTGAATCTTTGCAGGAAAAAATGCATACCTGAAACAAAACACTTCATTAAATAATACATATACACGTATATTCTATATATGTGTGTGTTTTACATACTGCAATAAAGTTTTACCATCAGTATATATCCTTACTGCAAGTAATAGTCTGGCAAGCATATATTCTATTCCATTTTCTTTCTTCACTAGTCATAACCTACCATTATTGATTTCAGTCTGAAAAACTGCACTAAACTAAAGAAACTGCTTACTTCAATCAAAATGGCAGTATTTCCCAGTTTCAACAACTTTTAAGATACAACTTTAAATAGAATTTTGAACCCAATATATCATAGTAGTTTATTTATATATATTATACACACACACATATATAATCACTTATATACAATTGTTTATACATAATTATATATGCAATATTTATATATAAACACATATGTGCTTTAAATTTTATTATTAGCTGTATAACTATGAAAGTGACTTAACTTCTCTTAGTTTCCTCTTCTGTTAATTGAGATAATACCTACATCCTAGAGATAAATGCCAAGTATTCAATAAATGGCAACAATCGTAACTACCAGCCATTACCAAGGACCACATAAGGTTCTCAAGGATGGTTCTCAATCATGGCTGCATAACAAAACCCCTTATGGAGGTTTTTAAACATACAGTTGCCTGAGCCTCCCTCCGCTTAGTGAATCTCCCAAGATGCGGACCAGGTAGGATAACTCAGGTGAGATAACACAAAGAGTCAGACTGACAAATCAGATTCAACAATAATTATTGATATTACCCAGTATCAAGGTAAATAAGGATTCAAAGGATATAGACAACAGCAAAATGTGAGCTAAGCATTCTTTCGTTAGAGAGGTCTGAAACCGTCAGGTGTAGGTGCCTGTAAAGATCCTCCTTCTTCCTATATAAGGAGGCATGTTGGTCCACACTGAATATGAAAGGTGTAAGCATCAGACAAAGTGCATTGCCAGAACAGAGGGAGCCATTCTGGTTATGGAACACCTGCTTTTTGATATCCCATTAATTACACAGCTCACATGGCATTTTCCAGCAAGCTGTGCCCCATAAATTCATAAATTCCAGGCTTATTTACATTGAGCAACCTAGACAGACCTAGTCCATCTTGCTAAAAATATTCCATAGATAAGGACACTCCACCTAGTGAATGCCAGTAGTGTGTTTGCCATCACGTTGGTCATTAGTATGTTTACAAAGGAACTAAATCAAATCTCTCCTCCTCAATAGGTGATATAAATTACAGGGACTGGAACCACGTAACTATACCTTTTCCAGTTCTGATTTAGCATTTCTGAACTTATTTGAATAAAATTTGTTTTGAGCAAAGATACACAGGGATTGACATTCAGAGTGTCCCAAGAGCCTTAGGGAAGTTTTACACTTTAAATAGCTGAAAGTGATTTTTAAATAGCTTAAAACTGCCCTAAGTCTTTGGCACCATGTTTTAACTCATTTTAGGAGTGAGAAATTAAAGCAGTAATATTTTGTTGGTTTTTTCAGCGGGGGCGGTGTTTGGGGACATGATAAAACAGTATCAGTCTTCCAAGTGCCCATAATTCAGAACTAGTCATGTTTCACGTGGTATACACCCAGTTCTCTCATGTAATATGCTGTAGTATGCTTATCCAAATAAAACGATGTGTTTGCACCTCTATTTTTACAGATATTCCATTGACAGAAGCAGTGACCCTGGAAGATTTTTCTATGTTGACATTACAACAGGTGCCCTAATGACTGCAAGACCCCTTGACCGGGAAGAGTTTTCCTGGCATAACATCACTGTCCTTGCTATGGAAATGAGTAAGTAACACAATAAACTGGTCTCCACATAGTGGCAAAATATAAGCATTACAGAATGCGGAAGTTTCTACAGCTTGTTGGAACAAGAATTATATTCTTTACGGGAAGAAATGGAAATCCTGTTTTACGCAAGTAAATAAAAGTATTTAGTTCAAATACTTCTTGAAGATCTTCTCTATATCTAGTCCTGTGCTAGAGATAAAAACAAACAAGCAAAACATCCAAAAATGGCACAGAAAACAGCATCCTTAAGCCAAAGAGCTAGACTTCTCTATGCAGAAAAGGGATAATTCATGAGAAATATAAGAGGCTTTCAATCTTTAATAAGATTAGGAATGCACAAATAGTATAAAATATTATTACAGGATGAAAAGAAGCATTAAAACATAGCATTCTTATTACACACACACATATACACAAAAATGCATACGAGAATTTGATACACATACACACATACATCTTACAACAAAAGGCAGATTCATTAACTTAAAGTTAAAAATGTAATTTAAAACTAATAAAAAATAGATTAATGTATTTATTGTAAACATAACACAAATTAAGATTATATACTACTACATTCCATTTTTTTTCATGACACTTACTGATACAAAGGTTAAAGGAAAAGGCAATCCCTAATGTACTGGCAGACGTATGTACAGCCATTCAGGAGGCAAATGTGGTAATTAATCTTTTGCATTAAGATTCTCCAACATATCCGTATATTTTTTCTCAAGAATTCTACTTCTAATAATTGTCTTAAGGAAATAATCATAAATATTAACAAAGATTTATGTACCCAAATGTCTGCCACATTGTTATTTTAAAATATGGGAAAAGGGAGGAATTACCTAAATGTCTAATAATAGGAGTTTCCCAAATAAATTATTGTACAGCCATACAGTAAAATGGGAATATCATGTTGATATTAATACTCATGCTTTCAAAGCTTATTTCAGTGACACAGGATAATCTTGCCACAAAATATTACAGTTCTAAATCCAACTTTTGTATTTAGCTTAACTGCTGTGTGTGTGTGTTAGAGAGTTTGGACACCTGTAATATTACACTTATATAATGGATGTCTCTGGTGGTAGGACTTTGGATGATATTTTTTCTTATGTTTTTCTGGATTTCTCATTATCCCTTGTATAAACAAGTACCATCACAGTCATAATGAAAACAAATTAAGTATGTCAGCCCTTACGGTAACCAAGCAATAGAAGTATCTGGAGGGAAAACACAGTAGAGTACAGATATTCTTAAGAGAGGGAAAAAAAGAAAAAGAATGAACCAGAAGAATGAGGCATTCTGAGGTTTAATAAAATTATTTACTAAGCATAATTTCTGGGCCTTATTATTTCTATTTTGTCTTCTTGGGACGGTGGCCAAAACAGAATAAGACAGGAGGGGCACTACTGGGGCTGTGAAATTATCTTTGTGTGGTAATACCAAGCAAAAGACAGACCAAAAGAACACATTTCCCCATGAGTGACTATGAGTAACTTCTCCTGCCCGAGCCCAAGATACAGATTTGGTGTATGTTTGATCCTCTAATATCTCCTTAGTCCATAAGCAGAAATGAATGTGCAGTGTTATCTGCAATCCCATGAATAACATGAAACCTTCTAAAACACAGTAATTCAAAGAACTGATTACAGGTTGTTCCCGCTATCCGAAAGCAGAGCATACCTACGAAATGTTTTGTAAGCCAAAATGGTGAAAAGCAAAGAAGGAACTATCTTAGGACTCATCTGGCCAGTGGATGCACAAAATAAAAAGCACAGATGCTCAGACACAGTTCAAAGATACGGCAGCTTGATGCTGAGCGCAGTTCCTGGGGAAGGAGCTTGCGGACGCCACTCACAGCTCAGGGCGTAGGCTGCCTCTGTAACGGCTCACTGCTACACAAACGCTGAATGCTATTTTCGCTTTCCGCCTTTTCCCATAAAAGTGAAAATCCTCTTTGGATTTCTTTTGGTTAGCAAAAACAAGTACTAATGTGGGTCTTTCCTAAAAGCAAATGGTGTAAAGGGAACTTTGAAAAAGTAGGGGAAACCTGTATCACACAGGAATAAAGTCAAGCAATGCTACACAGTATGCATCTGATTAGAAATGGGCTGCTTCAAGCCCAGAATACAGAACTGATCTGCCTTTAATTCTAGAACCTGAAGAATGAGCCAAGTGAGATTCAAAACCTCTTTCTAAGGTCCAATTTGTGATGACTGCTCCCCGCAAGCCTCACCCCTCATCTCACCCTCCTGATACTACACACACTCTCCAACACACGCCTTGCTCTGCCCAAGCATGTGTTCCGACCACATTCTTAACAGGCAGCCCTGGCATCCTTGTGTTGCTATCTCCATGTACTTCAACCATTCCTTTAAAAACCAGGCTGAAAAGGTAAATACCTATTTCAACAGAAGAGCTGTTTTCTTGCAATAATGAACCCTCTTTACCTTGTTGTTGTTGTTTTGTTTTGTTTTGTTTGTGCTCTCTTTAGACAATCCTTCCCAGGTTGGAAGTGTTTCTGTCACAATCAAAGTCTTAGATGTGAATGACAATGCCCCAGAGTTCCCCCGATTCTATGAAGCTTTTGTCTGTGAGAACGCCAAAGCGGGACAGGTAAGGCTGCCTGTGAGGCGCACACCTTGGTTGGCCCCCAACATGTGGAAATGACTGTTACAGATAACAAAATTTGCCATCAAAGTACCTCAGACTCCAGAAACTAAGCTTACGAAACAGAGTTCCCAGCTTCTGTACATCACGTTGCAATGGTTTATTTGTTAAGGAAACTATTTGGAGCTTCCACTACATTTTATGATCTAAATGAGGTTGTGAATCAAGATGGCTTACCCATCTGTGAGTCAGGGCAGTCACCCACCTTGTAACTGAACTATATAGAACCAAATGTAGTAACATGTGCTCTGGATCCTGGAAATGAGGGACCATGAATATCAGAAGAAAGAAGACTCTTTTCCTCAGTTTAGCACTAATCTTTGGAAATACTTGCAGTCGGGAAAGTTTATTTTTTAGATCTTCCCACCTCCCTTTCTTAACTTCTGGCAACAAGTATCCTTGTTAGGAACTGCCTGCCCTATTCTCAGAACACTCTGTTACCTAGAACTACCTACTCTGAATCCTCCCTCAATTCAAACACTCATTTTCTTAGTACCACTCGTGTCAGATTTGAGAGGAAAAGCATCTGAAGGAACAAATTTCTACTTACTTGAAATAGCTTTAGTTCCATAATCTTCAGATGTATTTGCCTATTTTTTAAAGCCTGCTTTTAAACTTAAATGAGTATTTGGTTGATTAATTCCCAAGTAGTGTAACTGAAAACTGAAAAACATCCTAAGTGTGCTTGGAATGGCCGTGTGTTAGTGTGTGCATCAGCTGCTGCCCGCCCCACACCACCCTTCCATACCCCAGAGCACAGGCCATCTCCCCTCTTCCGCTCCTGCTTTTTAAAGACTCCTTCCTCTCTACCTATGACCCAACAGATTA